CCTAATTTTTTTAGTTAATTGCGCTAAACATGTACGGGCCTGGAGGGAATTTACCGAAAGCAACTGTATGCTCCCATATTTATGTTTTAAAAAACAGGTATGTTAACTACCATTGAGCATTATATGAGTCTCAGTTGACAATAGTCAATGGTTTTATGCCATAACAAAAAAGGTCCAAATTAGGTCAACAAATTCAGTTACATAATTCTACTTGAAAAACGTGGGAGTTGGCTTCTCCACCAACGAAACAAATCTGCTGGTTCATCCCATCAGCCAGTTTTCTTCTCTTTACATCATACACTTTCCTGGTTTAGTAACATGGTTCTGAACGCATATTTCACAGAAAAATGACTTTTCAGAATTGCCTTAAAAATGCTCTTCATTTTGGCAAAATAACTTCAATAACCACCTAAAGTTCTTATCTGTGGCACAATTATTGTAACAAAGGCGCAGAAATCGATGGAAGATAAGTAGGTTCAAATAGCCTGAGTGATAAATTTTACTATACATGTCTAAAGGCGGAAAATATGTAATTTCCAATAAATATGGTCAGAAATAAGTAAAATATCGATTTCTTTAGGAAAATTCACTTTGTAGGATCTGAAAGCATGCAAATTTTTAAATATGATTATAGTCTCATAGCTCATTGTCTCCGACTACGGAATGACCCATGCTTAATAGTCGCTTTCGAAATTTATCCTTCTGTATATCTAACGAACCAGAGTCGTAGATCTATCAGAACGTTTATCAAAAATGCCCTAATCTTAACTTTACACAGTACAGATGATCATTCTACTCTTTGTATTCAATTAAAACAAAAGAATCCAGACTAACCTATCCTGTCGGAAATTATATGCGACGGGTGCTGGAGGCATGGGAAAAGTAGACCTGGAACTGAAGGGCACCGCGTCAGGTATTTTTGTGAGCGAAACTGAATTGTTCGGAGCAAACGTTGCACCACTGTTCGTGGTGTACATCTGAGGAAGGTTGTCACGGCGAAGAAAGGCAGTAGGATCCGCCTGCTCTAAATTGTTCTTCCGTGCTGCACCGTTCGTGTAATTGACCGTACAGTTGGTAGTACGAGGTAGTTGTCTCTGAATCAGAAGCAACATCAACAAGACTGAAAATGAAACTTTTCCTTCTCTACTTACTTAGCTTCAACTATGATATATTAAAGAAGACACACAGTAGAAAACTTATGTAACCTTCCAATCGTTTGATAAAGGTAAGTCAGTAATTTGCTACAAAATATCCTCTTTCATGTAATCCTCCTCAAACTGCAGTATAAACTATTTGCCGGTTAGGGACTGTTGCATGTACCCACTAAGATTTGTGATCTATAAAGTTAAAACTGATAATTCTATAATTTACTGCCTCACTCATCCGATAAAATACAACTTTACTAAAAAACAATAAAAATATGACGTGCGCCAGGCATTATGAAATATTTAGAGACATTTTACCGCCTTCAGTCGTTAGTTAATATTTTATTGGAGCTGCAAAAAATATTGGCACCGAACTAAGTAACAATTCAGTTCTTAGATACCTGCATGGTATCTGTTCGACGATTATCTCGACACTGTGTAACTCAGGTACAAGTTGCTGCATCTTTGGTTTACAATTTATTTATCAAATTTTAAGTGCTATGCAGTGCTTGGAATGCATGTAAGCTGCTGATCGTTTTTTTTATTAAGAAGACTATTCTTAAACTTTTAACTTCAACAAATTGAGCTTTTTGTTACTCAGAGCGATTTCCTTTACGCTAATTTTTCAATCACTGACCGGATTATTTGTGTTTATGAATAATGACTTGTCTGCCTTGTGGAGATATGCATACATGTAGGAAGGAGCGTTTACACTGTAGTTTGGAGGGCTTAAAATCCAATCCATTTTCTGGAAATACTTGTACGTCAAGTGTGAATGTAAACGAAATTTCATTTGTCATAAATGAATATTCTTTAGAAGTGGGATGTGCAGCTTATTAACGAAATATGACTAAGTTCACAAAGGAATTTAGTGAATGATTTAAATACCATATATGGAGTTATTTTCCTTAGCTTAATTGATGGAGGGATATACCTAGTGCACAGCTTGTTACAATTTATGAAGTGACGTGTGGTTCCATTTATGTTGACCAGTGAGGTAATCTCTCCCAAATAACTGCGATATTTTAAAGCACGATGATAAGGGGCTTAAAGTGGCTCATATCTTCTAACTCAACAAACAGACTGCCCTTTACCACGAATTCTATTTATATAATTAGGTCACATTGTGAAGCCCTTTAGCTTAAATACCTTCAATGGAAAGGAAGGTTCGCGTAGCACATTTGAAATAGCGATTAAAAGAAGCTTGCAGGGGTTGGGGAGTTATATGAAAAATATAGTGTTATAGTTCTTTTTTATTTGACGTACGAAATGCAAGAAAGAAAACAAAGGTAAACTAGTAATGATGCTAGGCACTTTTAGGAAAAATATGATTAGATGACAGAACTTCCGACAGAAGTCGGTTCATTTGATCCAATTGTGAAAGCCTCGACGGTGGCCTCGGTGGGAGTTGAATCCACGCCAGCATGGTTCATAAAATCATCAGACTGCTTAATGTCAATAAATTCAACTAAACGTACGTGGGACTATCTGGTGAAGTACCTTTAAAGCAATGCCAGATCAAAAAGACAAGTTTCGTAGCGGGGGCCTCTCGTTTCTTTTTCTGAAATATTCTTTACTAAAGACTTCCAAATTCAAGCTTTTAGGTTCATTACACTGACCAATACAATTATAGACGCTAATTAATGAATAAGGGACTTACCACGTTACGCTGAAGGTCATCCGCCTGCCGCACAGTGAGGGGTGTTGGATTAGAAGTTGATTGTGCGAAGCATGCTTGTGGTTGCCTTGAGACTCTTGCCTGAGTCTGATTATGTGGATCCAAGTGGGACACGCCATTGGTTCCAGGAGTTTTTGGGTGGGACAGGCGAGGAACCTCGTTCGGTGCTTCTTCGTAGTAGGACGCCACTTGAGGCCCAACTCGAGGATTCATCCGCCGGGCATCATCATACCTTTCCGCGCGGATAGGGATGCCCTGACCTTCCAGACAAACGTCCACAGGACAGTCGGCAACGCTTTCCATCGGAGCCAGCGGTGGTGAGGTTGAAACACAAAAATCGCGTTCGCGTATATTCTGCATAGCCTGATGCACTTCACGTTGC